TAGCTTTCAAAAGAATTTCGGGACGAAATTCCCTCTAACGGGGGGGATGATGTCACAACTAGAAATTTTTGTGCCTTGTAACTACAACACTTAAGTCAAATTGTGAATCAAAGACATAAGAGCATGTATGATGCATACTCTGTGACAAAAAAATTCCAAAACAAACACCCCATGCAAACATTTCAAGTAGTCAACAAGCTAGAAACCCTAAGAGTTCTTGTTTAAGTCCATTTTGGACTAGGACTTCCTTATTGGGCCCAATGGACCAATAATCTTCCAATTTGACTATCTTGGGTTTAGAACTCTTAAATGGGCTCTAATTGGACCCACTTCCATGTATTTCAATATTTTGCCCCATATTGGGCCTAAAATGAAATGAATTAATTACATGAACCATTTTGGGGCATAATTTACCTAATTTAGCCCTAGTAGGTCATAAAAACTACACTTTGATTTATTTGAGTCAAGCATCATCTAGCTTAACTATAATATGGGCTTAAGGGCAAAAAGCCCAAAAATCTCCTCTTTCCCTCCCATTCTCAGCCCAAGCCCAAGGGAAGGAAGAGTTGACTTTGTGTGTGCAACCTCACAATTATTCAAGGGACTTCCATGCAAGAGGACTCATACTTCCATGCACCATCCTTTCACACTTCTCTCTTCTCTCCTTTCTTCTTGATTCTCAGCCGAACCCAAAACACACACACACACACACACACTTCACTCAACTCTCTCCACTCCTCTCCAAGTGTTCGAAAATTAGGAAGCTTCAAGGAGATTTTTCCCACAAACACATCATCTAAGGTAAGTTGATGTTAGATCCATAAGCTAGTTATTTCATTCCATTCAAGAATCACCTCTTAATCCATTCAAACTTATGATTTAGCACCTTAGAAGCATCCAAGTTCGAAATCATCCAAGGAAGGTAGCTAAGGTCGAATTTCTTCTCATTTTTCCTTCCAAAACCGAAAGCACACCCAAGGTGAGCTTCATACCCCCTATTTTTCAGTTTTTATAAGTTTTTGTAGGGGAGAATACAAGCAAATGTGTATATCTATGAGTTTATGCATTCCTTGTGTGATTTTTATGCTTGTATGTATGATTTTATGTGTTATGTGATGAATATGTTAGCCAAAAATACCTAAAAACCGATATCTACCACATGAGGAGTGAAACAAACATAACTTTTACCATTTCACACTAATCAAGTCAATAAAAATAATTTATTTGGTTAGGATGAACATTTTTGGACATAAAACCCATTTTTGGGCTCAAATTGTCAAAAATACAAAGGCTAAGGGCCCAAAACGACAAGTATAATTTCTGGAGGTTGGAAAGAGTCCAAACAGTTTCTAATAAAAATTTTCTGAAAATCTACACTTTTGAGGGGCTTAAAATGTAAATTTTGAACCTAATGGACTAAAAATGGGCTTTTCGACCCAATAAGCCCCAAATTGCGAAAATTCTTACATAGAGGGGCTAAAACTGCAAATTTATGTCAAACAAGGGACTACTAGTGTAATAAAACTAATTCAAGGGTCAAAAATGTTTTCAAAGTCAAAAGGGATCAAAAATGCAAAAAAATTTCATTTTGGGCAAAAACTGTAAAGTTGCGAAAATAAGGGTTCCAACCGAGAGAAAATCATTTTTGAAGGACTTAAGCTGTTTATCAAGTAAATCTAGGCTGAAAATGTCTTTTTAATAACTTTTGATACTAAAGTGTCAAGAAAAATGGTTTAAGGACTAAAATGGAAATTCTTTTATATAAAGGGTTAAAAGTGTAAATTTTATCCAAGAAGGGTCATAAAAAGGTAAACTCTTATTTTTTTTTTTTTTTAAAAAAAACAATAAATCCCTTAAGATAAAATACGAGTACCACGACTACCGACGAAACGTAATAACAAATACGCTTTCAACACCAATATCGTTATCAAACGAATTGATTCGGTCTCGAATCAATAACGAATCAAAAATCAATAAACAATAAGTACTTCAATAAACACGCGAAATTTACGAAAAGTCAATATTCAATCTTTGGGCTTGAAAGTTTCAAATCGTGCTTGTTGGGCCTAGCTAGCCCAATATCATGATCTTTGGGCCCGAAGGGAACGTGCTTACATGTTATTGGGCCTTCTATGACCTAATTCCATGTAAAAGGACTTTCAATAGCTTTATTGTGTTGTTGGGCCCCAAGGTCCCATTGGTACTGCTAGCAAAGTCGAGAAGTCAAATGCGAGTCAGGCCTAGTGCCTTCCGCATTCACGATAGCCTTGAACAACTTATGGAAATAACGAGGGCTTCGTACCCTCTTTTCTCCTCAGTTGTGGGGCTATGAGAAGTCAGGGTGGTTGGATTAAGTGAGCCTTACAGACGACGCCGAAAGGATCATTTGTAACTTGTAGTTATAAACTAGTCATTTTCGTTAATGCGTGATTATAACAACTCACAACCCATAATTAATCCAATGTCACCTGGAATTATCGGAAACAATCGCCGAATCGGTATAACAATAAACAAGACACGAAATTTTATGTACGAGGAAAACATCGGGTTTTCCTGGGAAGTTCAACACTTTTATCTATGTGATGTATACAAGGTTTAACAATTATACACGTTTACAAAATCGACAAGCATACTACGGATCTCCACACTTTTTATAAACATTACTCTTTTAAGGAAATATCGGATTTTCTGGGTTTTCAAACTACACAAAAATCATTATTTTTCAAACATGACTTATGAACTCACCAACATTTCATATGTGGACGTTTTCCAAAATACTTGTATTCTCAGGTAATAGGTAAATTGAAGAATATGTATCCAGTGATGTCACGGTGTTTTGTTTAAATTAGTATCGAACGGTTGAAGTTATGGAAATGTAATGTTTAAAACAATGTACTGAATGTAAACAATATCAGTTGTAATGTTTCAATGCTTGGTGATGAATGATGTTATGATTCATGTATAATTATTGTGATGCTATTCAATTGAATCACAATAGCCCTCGGACGTTTCCGTCGTCTGGTTCGGGGGTGTGACAATATATATATATATATATATATATATATATATATATATATATATATATATATATATATATATATATATATATATATATATATATATATATATATATATATATATATATATATATATATAGCATTAGGGAATTCTCTCTTAAGGGGCTTGTGCTTTAGGGAATTCGATACTAATGGGCCATCATCTTTGTGTGTTCAGTCATAGCAAGACCGAATTCATCTTTGGTTGAATGTTATGGTCGACAACACCATTTAATTTAGATTCCTAAAGTCAAATTATTTGAGCTTCTTCATTACTCCAAGACCACAATGCATATATTTGTGTCTATATTTTCCTAATAGCTTCCCTAATCCTAAATGCTTAGAATCTTCATAAACACTTTCCTACATCTTTTGAACAACACTCATCTTATACATCCCTCTGAATATATCCCTAGAAAAAATTCTTAACCTCAAGGTATTTTTTTTTGTTAAAACCCGTAAGCATACATATGGAAAAGTAACTTAGAAAATAAGAATTACAATAACTTGGCAAATTTCGCCTTATTCTTGAGTCTTCGATAAGTTGGAGCTTTTTCTTCATGATATTTCTTAATCTTTATAACTTTTTAGACACTTATTCCCCAAAACTTTTGCAACTTTTTTTTTCCGTTTTTTCTCTTTTTTGTTCTTTTCCTTATTACTTTTTTGTTCTCACTTTTTTCACTAAAAACTAAAAAAAACATATACTTAAGCAATGAAACTTAGCCTCAACCTCAACCCTTATTGGTTAGAGTTATTAGTCTAAGGTGCAATCACTACATAAGCTCTCCTGGATACATTTCTAGTACATGATGTTAAACATATTGTGGCCCTCAAACTAAGCAAGGTAGTGTTTTTGTTCCATGATTTCACAAGGATAGGGAAGCCATAAATACACTAGAACATATGTTGGATCAAATAAACATCAAAACTCGCATCGGATCATCCCACACAATACTAGCAACTTAGGTCTCACACAATAATATAACAATTATTTTAACTAGATTAAATTTTAGATTATTATTTCAAATCTTTCTAAAATTCTTTAAAATCCTAGTCATTTTTTTTCAATTTTTTTATCAGTATGCTTGCATTCCTATATTCACCCCCTATCACACACTTAAATTATGCAATGTCCCCATTGCATGCTAAATAATAAAAGAACATAAAATTAAAGAGAAGAAAAATTGGAAAAGACTCCCCTCGGGTAGTAGTGGTGAGATGGAATTTTGAAACTTGTGTGGTAAAGCTTGGACTTCTCGTATAATATATGGAAACAGTATTTATGAGTCTTTCTCTCTTGAATATGAATGTAAATGTGTCGGATCAAATTGAACCAAAGAACCATCTTCAACAAGTGTATTGAACCTCAGACACGACGTGGGAAAGAAATTCCACATAGTGGTGTCAAGTGTGAAGTCATGATGATCATGGAAAATAAGAACATCATGTTGTGCTTTAAAGATGATATGACATGTGTATAGAACTGTTGAAATTCAATCGCGATAAAAAAAAATGCCACGACGTGGTGGTGATGGCCACGCCGTGGTGACTTCTCAGAATGACAATTAGATCCAAAATTATTCATCGTTTATTGTTAACGGCTTAGGATCACCCCCAAGGTCTTCTTTCTGAAAAATATCATCAAACCTCTTCTCATCACCAGGTGGGAAACCTACACTTCTTCAAAAACATGGTTTTAAATTATAATTTTCTAAAAATCTCACGCATTTTTTCCAATTAAGCTCCTTCATAAATTCACTACTCCTTTGAATAATGAAATATAAGATCAAGAACTAGAGAAACACATAATAATTCGGTTAAACTAAAACTAAAAATTGAATAGAAAATCAAAAGGAAAAGAAAATGCAAACTCTTAAAAATCAGGTTGCCTCCTATGACGTACTTATTTTTTAGGAGTTGTGAGCTAAACTCCTTCCCACTCTATGTTGCGTCAGGTGGAAGTGTAACCTCCCTATTCTCCATCATCTTGAACCTTGCTCGTTTGTATCCAACCTGTCTATTGAATGCCTTTATCAAACTTTCTAGCATTTTTGGGTTGACATCTTCAATATTCATCCTCTTGGGTTCTTTCTTCATTCCTGTGTCTCTAGCTTTTGTATTATATCTTTTTGGGTTTTTCTTGTCAAAATGAGGCTTGTCATTCTTTTCCTCTTTTTCTTCAACTGTCTTTGTGACTTGAATTGGTGGTCTTGTAAAAGCAAACACCTTGAAAATCATTTGCATTGACATTAGAGGTTTCGAATAATTCACTTCCTTTTCCAATTGTTCTTTAAGTTCTTTATGCTTCATGAATTCTATGTTTCCTTGTTTCACCAGATTTACCTTTGCACGAGATGGGAAAGGAAGAGGTGGTCGATACAGCTCAACCACTGAAAAAATCATAATCTTCTTTTATCATCCATGACGTGGCATTATTGCCTCCACATTGTGGCGACTGGACAGAATCATGAATCTTTTCTTCTTTTGCTTTTCCTTTAGGCGACCGTTTGTAATATTGATATATTGACTCAATGACCCCTATATGCTCCAATTCCTCCTCTTTTTCTATAAAACTAACCGTGACTTGAGATATTGAGATTGACTTAGTTTTTCTTGAAGATGAATATGGTAGCTTTTCTTGCATAAGTTTGTTATTTGCCCAACTTACGTGTAGATGCTCATGATAGATGCTTGTTGATCTCTAAGTGTTGCATCTCATACATCATGTCTTATTTTGCTAACATCCATAGATGTAAATAGCATTTACTTAGGAGCATTTATTTTGTTGGATTGTACTTGTTCTATTTGGTAGAGATCATGCTCGAGTTGTTGATATTTTGTCGTGTCTTGAGCTCTCTTGCATTTTAATTCACAATCCCTTATAGAATGAGGTCCTCCATAATATCCACATCTATATTAAATTGATCCACCTATTTTTGTGATCTTTTCTTCGACTGTGTCAAGCTTTTCAATTACCGAACTGATAGCATCTTGACCTCCATCTGTACTTGAGTTTCCTTTAGTGAAATCCTCCTTTGCATTGTGATACTCTCTTGAGTGCTTAGCGAATTCTTCAATCTAAGCTTTATTTGTTTCCAGATCTTTCTTCGTCATGGGTTCTTGGGAGTCTAGAAGTTGGTGAGTGCACATATTGACTCCGTTAAAAATATCGAGATTTCTTGTTGCACATTGAAGTCATGTTGATGGAAATGTTGTAACAATCTCTTGTAAAGCTTCCGAGCTTCGTATAGCGACTCCCCTTCTAATTGTCGATGTATGTTTATTTTAAGCTTTTCCACTTCTTAAGGATGGGTAAACTGGTTTATGAACTCATTCTTAAAAGCAGCCCATATCGTGATTTCTCTAAAGGGAAGTGATTTTAACCATTCCTTAGCTTCACCCTTCAATGTGACCAGCAAAAATCAAAGCATCACCACATGTTTACTCATATTTAGTGCATTAAAATAATTTGAAATCTCCACCACATCCTCTATGTGCTTGTAGGCATCCTCGTGCTCCATCCCACAATATGGTAGATCTTTTAGCATATTAAGAATGTGCCCTGGAAGTTCAAACTTTTTCGTGGTCAGGATTTTTGGTGGATAAAGACCCCATCTTTTTTCGTTCCTCCTATGTCATTTGTAGTCGTCCATTGTCATGGTTCTGATGTCCTTCATTTTTCCTACTAAGATAAAGCTAGAAAACACGTGTAAAACAAACAAAAAAGAAATAAAATCAGCTCTAAATGTAATGTGACCATGATATGGCCAAGGTGCCCACGACGTGGTTGCTACTCAAACAGAAAAATAAAATGCATAAAGATTAACTTTTGCAGTTTTTACCCCACAAAAATGATCAAATAACTAAAAGCAATTAAACTAATAATAAAATAATATGTTCCTTGGCAACGACGCCAAAAACTTTGATGCTCACAAAAGTACCAACTAGTTTTAAATTTATAACCTAACAAAACTTAGCTAACTATGCACTTATAGCCAGTGTACCAAGTCAGAGTATAGAATAGCTCAGGTAAGTCGGGTGTCGATCAAAAAGAACATAATTTAATTAATAAATAATTACTAAAAGTTAAAGTAAGAAAAAACAATAGAAGTGGGGGGCTTTATCGAATTTTACAAGTTCAGATTAATTTAATTAAATACTCAACTAATTAATAAAGTAAACAACTAGAAAGACAATTTTAAACGAAGATTAAAAGATACTTTTGTATAGCTTCGAATACCTCCTGCTTCCTGTGGTTGATTTCAAGACAATGGATTGATTCCATTAGTTACCAAATAAAAGTTATTGGTCATCATGATCAGACTAACTAGCATAAGTCAATTCAATAACTTTACCCCAATGATCATGCAAGTTAAGGACACTAAATTGATTTTAAAGGTAATGTGGACTCTGAATGATAGAATCTACAGACTACTATTCTTTGGTCAAGTATAGTAATTAAGCAAATATTATGAATAAATATTGCTATCTAACATAGTTAAGAAACTAACTTATCACCTATATTAGGATATGACTAATCCTATCTCTAGCAATTTCATGATCATAAACAACTAGGTATGTCAATTTCATGCAATTAGTTGTAGTTTAACTACACAAAACTTGAGACGAGGCAATAAAGAGAGAAACTTTAACAAGCCAGGTTTAGATTTATCAAACAATATTTATAGTACAAACCAACTTCATCAATGCATCAAACAAGAAATCAACACATAGTTAACAAGAGTTCAATTAATTCTAAACGAAAGCAAGGGTTTTAGCCCATAACTATAGCTAAAAAACGCATAAACAAAAGGTAAACAAACCTAAACAACATTAAACTAAGCAAACCAAATGTATAGATGCAAATCGTTTCTCCAATCCCTTTCTCCTTTAATCTCTAGTCGAATTCTATCCTCCAAGGGTGCTTAGACATGTTTTTTTTCATAAATAATCACATCCCTAAGGCCTCTACCCTCCGGAATCAACCTAATATCTGGAATATATATAAATTCCAAATTCTGGATACCACGTCGTGGTAGGACACTACCACATCATGGTCCTTGTGTTTATCCTTCATTCTCCAAGTCAGCATCAAGAATCATGAATATTCCATTTTTCACGTCGTGGTGGTGATCCTGACATCGTGGTGGCTAGGAATCAACATTTTCTCAGACCAAAAAAGTCATCCAAAATTTTGTCCATTTTTTAGATCATTTTTAATCACTCCAATTAGTGTTACGAGTCGTGAGATATAGTTAAAACATTGACGAGGGGTCAAGTTGTCAAGTAATTTTTTGTGTCTTCCTGCTTCCAGCTCCTAGTTTGCTTCCTTTTCATCCCAAGACAGTCTTTACTATTACAAAACATATTTCAAACATATTAAGTACCTTTTGTTCCAAAATAAACATAATTATACCTAAAAGTATTATAAATATGCATGGAATACATAGTTAAATATACACATATGATGAAGGATTCCGGATGATGATATTATGGAGTTAGTCTAATAGGTGGAGTAGGAGAATATACTTGAGGCAGCCTTTGAGAGGTGTTAGAGACATAGGCATGCCAAGTCTGATTAGCTGAAACCAACTCTATGTGATATGATGCGTCGTCTGGATGTTGCACAAGGTGAACATCACTGTATCACGGCTTCGCTTGTTGGGATGATGCAGCATCTAGGGATGGACCATCCGATTATAGTTATAATCAGAGTCTCCAGGAGGGAGAGTGAGAGTTTGTGTATAGATCTATAAGAGGGTGACTCCCCCACACCTGAGTTGTTCGCTACAGTTAGACTTGGCTAGTCTAGGATGACAAAATCTTGATCAAAACCGACGTTTGGAAAAATGCCAAGATAGGAGAATTAGTCATTTATCATGCATGGTTATAACGACTCACATAGAGATCCATTACCACCTATATTTTTCAGGTGAAATCAAGTTCATATATATTGTGGCGATACAAAACAATTCATACGATAATACAATTATTACAATACTATTATAGATCGGAAAATATTGGATTTTTCGGGAAATATCATCATTCTCTTTCTTTTACATACTTCAAATACAAAACAAGGAAAACTTTTGGGATTCATACATTTACATATGTTTTGAAATCACATATACACACATATATTAGATCATCACATCATGTCGTAAACAAACTTTTGCAAAAAATATCATATTTTCTCGGTTATACCATCAATACAAAGTTTTAATCAAACTTGCTTATGAACTCATCAACATTATATATGTTGACCATTTTAAAATAACTTGTATTCTCAGGTAACCATTAAGTCGAAGAAGCTTCAAGTGTATTTTGGGAATCTTATTTTGAGAAATGACAAATCTTGTACAATTTATGTTTTGAATATGTAATATTAAACAATGTACTTGATGTGAACAATGCTGGTTGTAATATGTAATGTTTGGCAATTATCATGTTATGATTCATGTATATTCATTGTGATGATAATTCAATTGATAGTTACACAAGCCCTCGGACGTTTCCGCCGCCCGGTTTGAGCGTGTGACAGGTTGGTATGAGAGCAATGTTTATAGTGAACTAGCATATCTATCCATACATGATATGCAACTATAAACACAATGGAACTACATAACTTTGAACAAAACAAAATTTTCACACTTAAGTGCGCATATTAGAATAACAACCTAACAATATTTAATAAAAGCTTCTAAAGAAAATTGAACACTATGATTAAACATGGGTAGTTATGTAGTCATATTAGGGATAAATATAGTCTGATCAACTATATTTATTCAGAATATGACCAACATATGTTTGGTAGTAATCATAGTGGGAAATGAATCCAAAAGCCTGCCTTACTCTCCAATAACTCTAGGAAGCCCAAAACTAAATAATTAAAAATATACTATAGGGGTAATTAAAATAAGATTTATTTATGCACTCTCGTGCAGTCAGTATGGCTGGTTTCCACCACCCCGGAGATCCTTATTTTCCCAATCAGGGAAATAACGGATGGCTAGAAGAACCTGAAGAGGGACATGTGGAACCTATGGCAGACGATGGAGAAGAAGATTCTAGTGAGGACAACGATGATGATTCGGACACGGAGTCTGTAGTCATCAACCCACCATACCCAGTGAAGGTGTCAACTCACCGAATGGGCCCTAGTGGCCCTACACCTCCCTGGGGTATCGACATTTGGAGATGGAGCAGACAGTAGGGACAGCGACCCCCGTTTGGCATGGCACGAGAGTTCTATGACTTGAGGGATGGAGGACCAGCTGACTGAGCACTTCCAGTCATGGTAAGACGATTGAGGGATATTGGCGATCTAACTCAGAGCACCGTCGATCAGATGCACCAGATTCAAACAAGGGTTGCCAGGGCAGAGCATAAAATGCGAGAGGTTA